AGAGAGAGAGAGAGAGAGAGCGAGAGAGAGAGAGAGAGCTTATTATATATTTAATTATTATAAAAATTTTTACTAGAATATTTAAATATACTATAGCTAAATTAATTAATAATTTACTAATTACATATAAATAGCTCTCCCTAATAAAATAGATTCAGTATGAATATAAACATCTACGTTATATAAAATAAATATACTTGCCTAAATTCACTAACAATTCACTTGTAAATACGTACGCAAAAATTTGTCTAAAAATTGACCCCCTCCCCTACTTAACCCCATAGTACATAGGACTTTAACATTATGTACGCATGTTTTCGTTGACCCTCCTTTCACCACCCAGTGCGTATGTACTTATTGAATGACCCCTTATATTATAAAATGTATCCTATAAATAATGAGCAATTTTATAACTAGTACACTTTAAATACACTTACAATTTGGTTAACCATAGATCGGAGTAAAGAAATATACCCTGAGATACAAGTGTCGTAAACAGTGTTATCGTGAGCAGTACGGGTCCGGCACCGGCCTTCACGTACTCATAGTAAACGTGTCCCCCGATAGAGCCCACCTCCCGGTTCTCCTCTTGAATCTTGGGCTTAAGGGTGTAGTCCTCCTCATCGCCCATAATGTCCGAGAGCTCGATGTTCTCGGTCTGAACGACGGATGTGCACCGGGAGTACCTCCGGGCCCTGTCGTTGATCGACTCCGACAGGAGGGTCTCCGTCTGTTTGGCGTCATAACTATTCTTAGAGAATGACCTCAAGAGCTCCCGTTCCTGTTTGACGGGTTCGGCTTTATGATCCGCGGCCTCCCGTTTCGCGTCACTCAATATTGATATGAAGTCCAGGCCCTGAGACTGGAGCTCATCGTATGAGCCCAACCCCAGGCACCGGCCCTCTGGGCTTAAGACCAGTATTTGTGTGGCTTTTCGTATGAATTGGATTTGATGTGTGACTAGAATTCGGATTTTGTCCGACAAGTACTCCACTATACNCTCTCATGTTTAAAAAAGTATATATATTTTTACGCAATTGAATGTAACCTTGGTATTACATGCGTGTTTGTTGTTAATTCGTAGTCACTTAGACTGAGCCGGGCATCCCTGGGCAAAGCGACGGTGGGCCACATCGTGAACCTAATGTCCAATGATGTCAGCAGATTTGATGCCGTATGTGCTATATTTGTGGCGCCTATACCCTACTATGGGTTTTTGTTAATGATTAATAACTTTTTGAATACAGTTTTCAATGGACGCCTGCTATTTACTCGTAGCCCCCATACAGACGGCGATTGCCATATATATCATATATACAGAGATCGGTTACTATTGCTTCGTAGGTGTGGCCCTATTGCTGCTGTTTATGCTGTTTCAGGCATTTATGAGCAAACTCATCTCGAAAGTTAGGTATGTTTGACGATATATAAATTCACCCTGGTCATTATGTAGTGATTAGTTTAATGTTTAAATAATAGGCTAATGACCGCACAGTTAACGGACAGTCGACTGCGGCTCATGAATGAGATTATATCGGGGATGCGAGTCATCAAAATGTATGCCTGGGAGCAGTCATTTGCCGAACTGGTGGCCACCTCTAGAAAGTATGTCCCTGATGATAATACCAGTATTATAGCAATATTTAATAGTCTTTTAAAACTTATGCAAAACTTATAGTAATTTTTAAAAACTCACTACAATTGTAGTCGAGTAAAAAGTTGGGTACCCTTTGGTGACTATGTATCAAGAGGGGAGGGGTCGTTGGTTTGCGTATGATGATGATGTGCAACTAGGGGGGAGGGGGTCAATTTTTGACAAAATACTTTGGGCGTACTTTGTGCACGCCGCCTTAATAGTTCAATACATAGTATTTGTACCTGTATAATGAGATATTATTATTATATGTAACATTATTCCATTGACTGATTTAAATCAGATATAATAGCTCTCTCTCTCTCTCTCTCAATAAAATAGTTATTAAATAGACAAAAATGTTTTTTATATGAACTTGTACTAATAGGAACGAGGTGCATCGATTACAAATGGCCTGTTTTCTTAAGGCTATTAATTTGTCCGTATATTTGGTGGCCTCCCGTATAATACTGTTCGCGTGTTTTATAACATACGTGTTATCCGGAACCTATTGACCGCCAAAGCCGTGTTTGTCACAATGACCCTGATCAATACCTTGCGTATAACAATGTTAGGACAATTACGAGAGGTCTTTGAAACGGGTGCTGAGCTACTGGTGTCGTGCCGTCGGATACAAGTAATTGATAATTATTTTTATCTAAATATTAGAAAAAAATTGTATATTTAGTACTTTAATACATGCAACAGTACTGTTATATGATCAGGTATTAATTAATAATATGTTAATCTAAAAAATAGACTTTTCTGGAGTTGGAGGAAATGGATGTGAAAGCAATTAATGCTTCAAATGTACGGTTGAATACAAATGGCAAACAAATGCCTGAACTGTCGGTCAATAATATTAGCGCCAAATGGAGTGAAGTATGAAATGAATAAATAATTTGTTTAAAATAAATGATCGTCTACATGCATAAAAGGGTTATTTATTTTTCAATGCAAACTGTATACATAACATAACCATTGCATATATAATATCTAATATTGTTTATTACTTTGAGAAATGCAATGATTATGTTATGTGTACAGTTTGCATTAAAAAATAGATAACCCTTTTAAGCACCCAGTGGATCAAATATTAAATACTTTTCATACCATATGACAGGACAGTCCATATCCAACCCTTCAGAATATATCCGTATATCTAAGACCTGGAGATTTGTTAGCAGTCATTGGACCGGTAGGCGCTGGAAAGGTATATGAATCAGTAATAATAGAAAACGTTTATATTTATTAAAATTATATTTTCATAAAGAGTTCATTTTTGATGACAATATTAAAAGAGCTACCGGTGCTCGAGGGAAGTATACAAACTGTGGGCACCATTAGCTATGCCTCGCAAGAGCCCTGGAATTTCAATAATAGCGTCAGAAATAACATACTGTTTGGCAGTGAATACTATGAGCACCGGTATAAACAAGTAGTCCATGTCTGTGCTCTGAAAAGGGATCTCCAGATATTTCCCTTCGGAGACAAGACATTAGTCGGAGAGAAAGGGGTCTCACTATCGAGTGGACAGAAGGCTAGGATCACTTTGGCCCGGTATGGCATTCACGGCACCGGTAGTCCATACGACAGTCCTATTGACTAAAACAATGCATTCTTTGCAGAGC